CAGATCAGTACTACTGTAACTGATGTCCACTGTTGGCTAGATGGGGGCCTTTCTCCATTTATTCATTTTAATATGCAACGAAGTCAGTTAGTAGCCTAACAGCAGAACTAGTATTTGTATAAAAATTGTTATAAAAGACTTAAATGACTCACAGAACTGCACACTTAACACTGTGTGCCTATCATTGTTTATGTTATACTCCAATACAGTTGATTTTTTAAAAAGACAAGTGCAATAAGAAAATACTAGATAAAAAACTTCATGCCTTAAAAATATCTTCTTCCTTCAGAAAGGATTCCACTGAGAAGAAAAATGGGGAATACATCAGAGAGGTGAAATGTATTTATTTATTTGTTCATAAATATTTCCTTATTTTAGTTTTCTCATTTATTTTATGTCACCTTAGAGTTGCAGATTTTTTTTACCTTATTACATTAAGTACAGATGATATATAATATCTTATTAGTTTCAGGTGTACATCATAGTGGTACAGTATTTATATACATTACAAAATGATCCTCACAATAAGTCTAATTACCATCTGTCTGCATACAAAGTTATTACAACACTATGAATTGCATACTTTTTCAGAGTAATAGATGCATAGGGTTAAATATTAGCATTCTGAAGGACTATAAGGACATTAACCAACTTATGACTTGTCCATCTCCACTGAAGTGACACTAACTAGTGATAGCCATTTTAACCAATTTTAATACCTCTTTAAGATTACTGAACTTCTATTTCAAGAATCACATAATTTAGATATCAACTATTGACTTCTTGCTTTGATAGATAAGGATTTACACACTATTATTACATAAAGATATGGAATATGAAATGCAACTTGAAAAATGGGTAGGATTTAGACATGACAGTTGGCCCCATATGCAGTACAAGTAGAGGGAATAGTACAGCCACAGCAGGAGCTGGGGGATGGAAGAACATGTGCAGGAAGCAAAAATAGTGGGATAAGAATAAGGTAAATCTGAGACAAATTCCATGGAAAGGACTTCATTTAATAGAAGACCCTGGAAACCTCTGAGTAAAGAAGTGACAAGAACTGGGCTTTGAGATTTATTTAGGCACAAAGGCATAAGCTAGCCCGGACAAAGGTAGCAGTGAAAGCAAGATCAAATCAGTCCAGGTGAGATAAGAACCTGATTCAACTAGAAATAGATATAGACAGACAGAAAAGGGAATGTTATCAAATATATGAATATATACAATATATAGTATTGTATGCAAATACACATCAAATCAAAAAATTTAAAGAAAACCAAGTAACTAGATTTAAAAACTCACTAAATAATCTTGTGGGTTAAACACTAATATTCACACATGAAATAGAAAATCTGTGCAGAACAGCTGCTAAGCAAATTAAAATGGAACCCAAAGTCCTCTTCAGAAAAAAAGAAACTGTAGCCTGAATGGTCTTAAAGGTGAGGTCTGCCAGACTCTCAAGATGACCCAAGTCTAAACTGCTCCTGAAAACAGAAAGAGAAAGATGCCCAACTTGTTTCATAATTCTATCAGAACCTTGATACCAACAAATATTAAGAACTGTACCACCCCTGACCTGGGGGCTCTACTGGTTGGAGCATCATCCCATACACCAAAAGGTTGTGGGTTCGATCCATGGATCAGGGCACATACTGAAGGCAACCATCGATTGGCTCCTCTCCCTTCTCTACCATCGATGTCTCTCTCTCTCTCTCCCCCCCACCCCGCCACCCCCCAAATCAAAAAACATATCCTCAAGTGAGGATTTAAAAAAAACCCCACAAAACCTGTACCAGAGTTAGCAGGAAAAGAAAAAAGTGACAATACCATGAAAAGAGAACCCATAGATGTTGGCTACAGACAAGACGTGATGGAATAGGAAAGGGTTGGGTTTGGAATGACATCAACAGAAATAAGGAACACCAGGGAAACAAGTCTGGTAAGGAAGAAGAGTTCAGTTTGAACCAGAACAACCAGATAGAGATATGCATAAAACAGTTGGATATACAGGGATTCAAGTGTAGAAGAGAAACAAAGAACAGAGATTTGAGGATTATTCAGACAGAAAGGTCTACATGATAATGTCAAAGGACTAAGAAATACCCAAGTGATCTAAAAGATGAAACTTGGAGAATACATATTAATCGGGAAGAAGGAAAAACAGAAAGCAGAAAAGGGGCAGTAAGAAATAAAGTATTATGTCAACAAAGCCCTCCTGTCATCTTATTAATTCTTACTCATCCTTTAGAACTGTCTGGGCTTCAACATAAGTTTCTTAAGAAGGCCTTCTCAAATTCTCCCAGCACCACCAGCACCAGCTCAGGTTCTCCAAAATTTTAAGCTCTTATGATACTCTGCACTTTAATTACAATCCTATCATATTTAATTATAGAAGTCACTCTTTTTAATTTTTATTTATTGATTTGGGAGAGGAAGGGGTGAGAGGAAGAAACATCAATTTCTTGTTCCACTTATTTATGCATTCATCGGTTGATTCTTATATGCCGTGATCAGGGATCAAACCTGCAACCTTGGAATATACGGACAATGCTCCAGTCAACTGAGCTACAGGCCAGGGCTTAGAATTAGCTCTTCAATATATGTTTCCCCTACTAGACTGTAAGCTTCATGAGGATAAGGACCATATCTATTATTACAGCCTATTACTTTGCATGGAGTGTTAGAATTAGCATTTGTTGAATGAAATGGACAGATGAACAAAAGCCCAGGGAAAGCATTTCAAAATGCTATGGAAAGCTCAAGGACTTGACTCAGAAAAGGGTCTTAAATGTGTTGTTTAGGTGATAGGTGACCTTAGTGAAGGTGATTTTCAGATAACAAAGGGTTAAGAAGTGAATAGACGGCCAGGAAGTAAAGGTAGGAAAAGTAAACTACTCTTGGCAATCTCTAGATAAGATTATGAAGGACTGAATTTTAATTTTACCTCAATTTTGCTCTATTTTACAATTATTCTTTAATGAACATGTATTACTTTTATAAGGACAAATTTTTTAAATGTTCATATGATTTGAAAAGAAAAAGGAGTAACAAGAGTTTGAGGGAGTGGTGGACTCAAGGGAAGGTTTTTATAAATTGAAAGAATCTTTTTTTTAACTTTTTTTCAATTACAATTGACATTTAATATTACATTATAGTTTCAGGGGTACAGCATAGTGGTCAGACATTTAAATAACTTACAAAGTGATCCCCCAGATAATTCTAGTATCCACGTGACACTACAGTTATTACACACGTTTTGACTATATTTCCTATGCTGTATTCTACCTCCCCGTTACTAGCTTGTAACTGCCAATTTGTACTTCTTAATTGTAAATTATGTACATTTGTGCTTTTAAGAACCCTAAGACAAAAGAGAGGACAACTTATACTCAATAAAGTAAGAAAGAGAAAAATAAAAAAAGGTGTTAATAGGAAGAACTTTTTAAAAATATTCTTCCACAGAGATGGAAGGAAAGAAGATGAAAAACGGAATCCAGTCAGTTCTGAAAGGAGTTCCCACTGGATGCCTCAAACTTTTCAGTGAAGGGTGTGGAGAAGTGAAGAAAGTAGAAAAAGTTTGAAATGAGCTTCACAGAGAATGTGTAGGGGAAAAAAACAAAACAGGAATAGAATGCTGGTTCTATTAAAAGGGCATTTTAAATTTCAATCAGCCTTTTGGAAACTCAACCTATTTCTAGCTCAGAACTGCCTGTATTTTAGGTTTAAGTTTAAATATTTAAATCGGTCCACAAACTTATTTCAGCAACCAAAAACAGTGATAAGCATGAAGTTACATTCTATTGCTACTTTAATTCAGAACTGAACTCCTCCTACAAGTAAATACAAAAAGTTTTTAATTCAAGGAACAAAACAGCGAACATTTCAAGTATAAGTAAAAAGTACTCCTAAATGTGTTTGCAGAAAGAGGGTTTTCGCTGTTTTTTTAACTCATCTTTATGCCTCACTTTAACGGTACTGAATAGTAGTAAAGAAAATCCTGGATTCAAATCGCAGCTCACTTAGACAAGTTATTTAACCTCTTTTCGTCTGGGTTTCCTGATGTAAAAAGTGAGAAATATAATAACCAGGGTTATCTTAAGGATTAAATGACATAACAAAGGTGAATGTGCCGAGTTCGTACTATGTACTCAAACAGTTTGCTAACCGCTTAAGAGAGAAAAAACCGGCAACACTTTGACCAACTTAAAACAACCAAGAGCCAAGAAACAAAACGCAAGACCCTAGCACATTATTTTTCTTTCCTGACGCAAGCTATCTGTTTTTCCTTTCCAAGCCTTCCCACTACGAGTCTGAAAAAGAAAAAAAGCGTTACATTCGATCCAGCAGAAAGTTTTCTGAACCTAAAGTGCAGAATCACAACAGACATGGCAGCGGTGGCAGCGCAGAACAACAGGTGAACCTCTGAGAAACCTGGCACCTTCCCGCAGACAAGTAGTTTTGAGAGGGGGTTTGCAACTCCTGGCGCTACCACCCCACGAAACAGACTTTTTTTTTCCCTTTCCTTTCCTTCTTTTCTTTTTGCAGAAGCGTACAGACACAAATCGCGAATATCAACCTCGCAGCTTCTGGACGAAGGTGAGCGCTTTCCCATTTAAGGATTCAAGAAGCGTCCTTTGAAGCGGCTTTCGCCCCACACCGCCTCCCCAAACTCGGCCTGAAACCCGGGGAACAAAAGAGGGGCCGGGCGGCCGCCAGGGCCCAACCCTGGGCGTCCAGAGGGCCGGGGTCGGCGACGGGCTCGGGCTCGCGCTCGGGCCCGGGGTAAGGGTGCGGGATGGCGGGGCCCAGTCGCCCGCGGCCTGATACAGCAGGGACGGCGGGGACACCGCGGGACAGCCAGGCCGGGGCGCCCCCCTCTTGGGCCTCCCACACGCTCCCGGCTCCCTTCGAAACTTCGCCGGGAGTCCGCACCGGCCTCCCAACCGCGGCCGGCCTCTCCTGGTGCGCACACGCACTCTCCAGGCGAGCCAACTCACCCAGACTCCGAGGAACTCATCCTCCAGCCCTCGGCGCGAAGAGGGGTGGGCGCGGCGAGCCGCCTGGACGCGACCCGGGCTAGGCTCGGCCTCTGCCCTCGCTGTGCAGCTGCTCTGGCCCGGTTGCCCCTCCAGCGGCCGCGAGATCCTCGTCTCGCCCGGACAGACCCGCCGGAGCCCAAGCCCTCCTCCTCCTTTTTCTCTCTTCCCTGTCCTTCGCCAAGCTCCAACAGGCGGATTCCAATCTCGGCAGCCGCCGCCGCCACTTGCAACCGGGTTGGCGGGGGGGTTGGTGGGGGCCGCCAGGGCAAGGGGCCTGGGGGGTGGGGCGGGCCTCGGCAAGATTCGGCGCTGCGCGCGCGCACTGGGAGAGCACCCGCCCCTCCCCGCCCCGCCCCGGACGCGAAAGGAGCCGAGCGTGCGGCGGAAGTGCCCGAAGGGTCCTCGGGACCTGGCGCCCTGTTGCCGGGGAGGAGGCCCCGCCGCCGGCAAGGGGGCGCCTGGCTGCCGATGGGGAAAGGGGGCGGCGGCTTCCCCCTCCGCGCCGGCCTGTCCTTACTAAGCAACCTCACCGCCGCGGTAGCGGGAAGATTAGTCTCCAGTAGCCGAGCCGAGCAGACGCGTAGTGCTGCGCGCGGATAGGACCCCCTCGGACGTTCTTGTCTGGCGGGCCCTTTGCGTGGACACCTCCGACAAACGAATACTCCACTCGAGCACCGGTCGGTCCGCCGGTACAATAAGCCTGACTGCTCAGAATCACACACCGCGACGTGGAGGCCAAGAAAAGAAACGTAGGCACACTATTCATTATTCTCACCGTTCCCTGGCTTTTATTTCTGGTTTCTTTACCAACGTGCAGAGGCACAGGTAAGGCCCGCTTCAACTGAGCTGCAGGACACAGAAGCAGTTACGCTCAGGGCCGGGAGTTCGAGGCCCGGGCTGTTGGGGCCCTGTGGTCTGTGAGCCGTGAATTCCAAAGGCATAAGATGAGTGGCATTAACCCAGCATAACTGAAGTCAGTACACTATAAATATTGCTCCCTTCTCCACATTTGGCTCGCTCTAGTAACCTCGTGTACCCTCCGGAGTCTCGTTCCCCCCATTTGAAAAATGTAAATAATTGTCACTATTTTTCTTCCATTTCCCCTCGTTCTTTGTGGAAAATGTTAGAAGTATTCAATGCTCTTTAAGCGAATAAAGAGTATAGACCTCTTTTTAACACCAGATGTGACCTTAATCTCGGGCAAATATTTTAATGAATGTATCATGTTAAGCCTCTTTAGAAACTAAGATACTTTTTCTTAAAGGTCCCTTTATATTGTAAAATCACTTTTTAAACTGTGAGTAAAAAGAGGAAAGGAAAAGAATGCGCGAGGCACTAATATTTGTTTTTATACACGTTCTTCCTAAAAAGATGTTTAGATTCCACAGTAGTCGCTTATATTCTTGCTTAAATGTCTCAATTCCCATACATTCTTGTTTAAAGATTTTTTGATCCATATTTTATTCTGCCTCTCTTTTCTCTTTTTACCCTTTGCCTCTAATTCCAAATTCTTTTTCATTTACTCTTTTTTTTTTTTTTTTCTGAACCCTGTCTCAGGTTTGAGAGTCGTGAGTTACAGTATCTTGCTATGAGCATTGAATGTATGATATGGGGAGTTTTCCAACTCAACTAAAATTTGTCACTTCAAATATTTTACTTAACCACACCGTTTTAATTTTAGGGATAAGGCTGGACGTTTTGCTCAAGGAAATTCAGCCTGATTGACCAAAGAATTCATTGATGTATGATGAGCAATGTATCATGACAGATAAAACCATGACAAGTGTGTTAATATACCCTTTAAAGCCTAATTCAATTTTAAAACATACAAGTCAGTCTATGAAACAGGCAAGAATCTCAGGTTGGAACTTCAAGTTTCTGAAATTTACAAAATTGGTGTCGCGTGGATTGTTACATGGCACTGTGAAAATGAGGACAAAGTTGACGCATCAAATTTTAACATATCTTTCTTTCCTACAAAAGGATCTCCTTTTCAAGTCTTTGGGAATTTTAATTGACATCTTTATGCTCTCCTTAAGGCCCCCTAATGCCCAAGCTTAAATCCTTAGCGTTATCACAGAGGGTATCCTACCAACTGACGGCTGAGCAGGACTTCATGTTCTCTCTGGTCCTCACATGTGTGTATGCGTGCCAGCCTGTTTCTCTGGGTTGCCTGCACATTAAATGAAGAAAGCAGCCAGGAAGACTAAGGAGACATCTGGACACAAATGGTCTGCCCCCACCAAACTCAAAGGCAACAAAATCTCAAAGTCCATATTTAATGCTCTCTAATGTGATGGGTTGCTCATTGTTGTTGTTGTTGTTGTTAAGCAGATTAATAGAGTGGGCTAAAATGTGCCTTTTTTCTCTGCTCAATTAGTTTGAGGTATAGGTTCCAAGAGTGGTAGTGCATGCCCAAATCATACAGCTTTAGTTTGGAATGGAAAATTACCATTCACATACAATTCTAAGATCCTCAAGGACACTTTCCCTGATCACCTGTCTTAAGTTAGCACCCCAACACAGCCAATTTTCTTTATACCACTTTTTACCCAATGAAGTTACGTTGTTCATTTTGTTATTTGTTTATGGTCTCATCTGAATTTCTCCGCCCCACTAGAATGTAAATTCAATGAGAGCAAAAACCTTGCCCATCTTGTTCTCAACTTTTCCTCAAAGCCTAGTTCCTTGCTCAATATTTGTTAATTAATAAGAGGTAAGAATAAAATTTCCTCTAAGCATTTCTGAACCTTGTTATCAAGATCCAGTTTTAGAGGGTGGTATGAACTATGTTAAAAAGAGTGAGGGTGGATCAAGGAAGCAATGGATTACACATTCTTCAGTGAAATGAGGACTTCTGCTTTCAGGTTAGGCAGTAGTTCAATGGATTAAACCAAGTTAATCCATCCAAAGTCATTTTCTTATTTATTATAAAGACTTCATGAGGCAAATGTGGGTATGAGATAAATTAGAGCCCAGTGAAGGGATGCCCTTGACTGGGTGATGCTTGAGGTTGGTTTCATGCCTAATATTAAATGGACAAAGGCATTGTGAAGAATAGAGAAAACAGGTACCTTTTTTCAGCATGGATACTATTATGTCATTTTATTGGTTAATGCTACCCAGTCATAGTTTAGAAGGACCAAGCCAAAACAAATTGTGTTTAAGAAAAAGATGATTGTGTATAAATATAATTCGGTGCATGAAATAGAGAAAAGTTTAAAAATCTAAATTTGTTCTTTTCTTTATAATGGTATATTTTACTTTCCCTTTTATTTTTACTTCTAAAAAACTTGCTTCTTTTCCCATTTCCATTTTCATTTCTCTTTGCTTCAAAGCGCTTGTTTACTTTGATTAAAAGATAGTTTACTGAGGCTCTTGCTGCAAAGTAGCCACCACTTGATCATACCAAGTCCATGGTCTCCGTAGCCCTCTTCTTACTCTCAGTAAACCCTTTATCATAAAGCCCAATCTTTTCCTTATCCTATGGCAGGAAGAATTCTCAGAAATCCAGGCCCCGGCCCCAGCCCCAGCCCCAGACTCCTGCTGCCTTTTCGACTTCCTTGGAAAGCCCTAATCCTGTCTAAGAAGTGACTTACAGCCCTTTACCTGTGCTTGAAGCCCTAGCCTATTAACCTGCACGGAACTTGGTCTTCTCTGCCGGTTGTCTTGACTCTGCTCTATGGAGTCTGCCCCAGCCTTGCAACAGAGACTTTGCTGTGTACTAATAGATACCCCATCCCCCTGGTGGCCACTCTTACTTGCCTTCAGCTCCTTGTTTCTAATTTCTCCACATCATATCCTATCCATCTGTAGGGCCTCCTGTCCCGCATTACCTGATGCCTACTGCTCTCTGGGACTTCCACCTCTTTGTTTGCTCTCTGCTTTCTGGCTATCAGGCACTGCCTAGAGGACTGGAATTCCTCCCACTGAACACCCGGAGCTAAGACTTCCCCACCCCAGCTCCCACTCAGCCCATGGTAAATCTTAGCCATCTTGTGCAGTTCACCAGCCTCACCACCCAGCCTTCCTCTGTCCTGAAAACAGAGGGTTTATGACTTATTACACATTACTTATTTTTTAACCAAATAAAAAAAGTGTAATAGGTGTATATTTATTCATATACATTATATGTGTGTATATGTTTATTCATATACATTATATTTATACATGTATGTATATATGTAACCAACACATATGTGATTCTACTTTCTACTTCAAAACACAAATTCAATTCATGAATTCCTTTGGGACTAATAGTCCAGAAATCCCAACAGCTGGAGCTGACTAGGATTACCTTGTGGATGACTAGTCAAAGGAAGACAAGGCATTGTGACAAAGATTCAAGCCAAGATCACTAGAAAAATGCAGTCCTGGATCAGGAATGCTGAGTCATTAACAGCCATACTGTACTTACTGTGTGTGGTATATGTGGTTATAAAATGTGTTCCTAGGTATGGTGTGGTGCCACTAGTGTGACCAGGCATACTAGTTCATCTACCACATATATTAGAGGTACCTATCCCTGTGCTGGACACGAAGTTCCGGAGAACAGGAATTGTCTTACTCTTATTCCATTGTATCACTAGGATCTAATGTGTTGTTTGGCATACCAATAGGTAGTCAGTAAATCCTCACTGAATGAATGAATAGGTAATGTAGGGGATCCCTGTCCTCAAAACTTAAAATTTAGTATAAATAAGGCATATGTAACTCCTTCATTTGATGTTTGTTTCTGAGTCAGGATTTAGTGCCCTTAAGATAGTTGATACTTCATTTTGTCCTCTGTTGGTAGCTTGCCCTCACTAATTTGTGTATATCAACCAAGGCAGGGTTGTTTTCTGTTTAGTTTGGTTTTGGGTTTTTAGTATTCTTGAGAATTAACAATAAAGCAGTTATCTTGATGGAATGAGAGTAACAAATGCTGTACATGTTAACACTGAACCTTCATTGACTGTAAATTCTAACAGTTTTTCCTCAACAAATAATGTTTAAGTTCTGGAGTTCCATTTAATCTTTAAAACCACTTCCTCAATTCTTTCATGGGGAAACAATCATATTTTTAACCAGTCAGCCAATACTTGTCAGTTTTTCTTTAAAATATAGATTATTTTATATTTACTTTACTATTCACTTTATAATCTGTCTTCCTCACTGTATGCCTGCATCATACTAACTATCCTCCTAATTGGTCATTTCCTCTCTCAACTGATCTTGCTCGGTTTTCCCAGATTTGTCTTAATGAGATACCACTCATATCAAAATCTGGGAACCGCTGAT